ACGGTTTGGAATTAATCCTCATTTCAGTTTAGATGCAGGGTTGTTCGACTTCAAATGCATTCCGTCTTCTCACATCTTCCCAATCATCACCATCAAATCCAAAGCTGGGACTCAATAGTCCCTACCTCCACTGAGTGTACAGAACGGCAGCTGTGGATTTATGTATTCCCTCGCCACTGTAGATAAAACATCGCCGCATTCTTTTTGGAAAGGATAACAGTTGGTGGATCATAAATGATGTCCAAGTAACTTATATATCTCCATGTGGTGTTGCGGTGAGTTTCTACCATGTTTTCTCATATTTCAATCGTATGTTGGGAATGGTTCACCCTTTGTGTCAGGTAGGCATAGTTAGATCGACTCTTAATTGAGTATGTGTTATTGTCATGACTGCCCCTTTTTTGTCTGAAATTATAAACTGGTGTAGTCTCTGAGTTCAAACATTAAATGGGCCTGTGATTTCTGGAGTCCTTACATGGGAATTAGCACTGGTATCACTTGCAAACCCACTTAATGTGTCAGTAAGTGCCTTTGAAAAGGATGCCAATGTGCTTGCTAGTCGCATTTCTTTAAGTAGTCTGTTCCATATCTCGCCATACCTAATCAAGAAAAACTTGCCTGGTGGTTGTTTTACATGATTCTATAACCACTGTACCTTTAGTGCATCTAAGGTTATTTCCGGTGCCTTCTGAGAAGCGAGTACAATTAGCAGGAGTATACACTATGTGATTAAGAAGCTTAAAGAATAGTACCAGATTTAATCTTAGTCGTCTTAACCATAATGTTTCTGGTCCTAGGATTTCACATCTGGTAGAGTGGTTTGTGTCATTTTCGGTTCCGAGTACTTTTCGCGTGGAGTACCTCTGTACTCCTTCTACTTTCAGTTTGTCTTCTATGCGTTACTATTAAATATGAATGAGCAGTAACCAGGAGTGGGCGCACACCAGTAGTATTATGCATTCACTTCTGTAGAAGTTCGTGAGTGGGAAACCAATAGAGCTGCGTGATTTCGATACCTGTTTCGAGATATGCTCAGAAAATGATAGATTGTGCGAATATTTCAGTCTTAATTCTAGTACAGATCTGAGTCTGGTAATTTTGTGGCCTTGAATTTCCAGGCCGAGTTCTTGGCTGAACAGCCTGTGCAGAGCCATCCGCACTTTTCGACAAAACTCGTTTCTCCAGGTGTCATACCATCTATGCATTTTTATTAATTCTTCCTGTGTGGAGTTCATACTTGTACTGATATCAGTATTTGTGCATACATATGTCACCTTTAAGTCATCTGTATACAGAATTGGTTTGCCTGTACTAAAGCATTCAAATATGTCGTTTGTGTAATAAAAATAATTTTTCCTTCACGCTTCCCAGTGGAACATAGGGCTTCAAGCTGGAGGCTTGAAGTTTCTGTAGCAGTGTCTAATTTAACAGGATGGGGTTACTAGCCACATGCCCAACCTTCCCTCTTTACCAGCATTATTTCTGGTATGTAAGCTTTATTTTTTTCCCAGGCAGTTATAAACCATCCACCAAAGACCCACATACACTTGATTAATGTTAATCCCAGTAGTATAAACAGCCTTTTCACTTATGTACAATCATTTCTGTGCACAGCTGGAAACATCCGCTAGATTGTCATTGAGTGCAACACATCAAAAAATACAGAAGTATTGTCTTCGCATCAACAAAAACAGGTCTTTGGTGGATGGATTATAAGTGCCTGGGGAAAAAATAAAGCTTGAAGTCAATTTTCACACATAACTTTGTTGTGTGCAAAGTCCTTAAATTATAGTTCATTGATGTTGTCAATGTAGTTGAAGATTGAACGATCAATTCATGTTTGTTTGCTCAAAACCAACTTCCCCAATTTTCGCGAAGGCATCAATCAGCCAGTCATCGTCTCATCGGTCGCTGTTCAGAAAGAGTAAAAAACCGTCAGAAGTAATATTGTGATTTATTATTGTAATATTTGTTCATAGACCTTAGTTTTAAAGCTTAAAGTTGGCTATATGTTGGTGTTACAATAAAGAATTCTCAAGTAGCCAATCGGTGTTTTGGTTTTAGCGTCCGTTAGTACTAAGCGTTTCTGAGAAACTTCAAGGAACAGTTTGAGTCCCAGCGTAGCAAGAGCTGGGCATTGACAGTTTACGACACGTGGCTGACAGATGTGTTATTTTGAATTCAGTGATATGTTTATCTCATTTAATCTGCAATGTCATTGTTGGGAGTAAAATACATAAGCTTTGGACGCATTAATTAATGGATTTCTACTGCTTGTGGGTGTTTTCTTCGCGTGAGGAAGGTGTCAATGGAGTTGAAGATTGAACGATCAATTCTTGGTTGTTTGCTCAAAATCAACTTCCTCGATTTTCGCGGAGGCATCAATACGACAGTCATCGTCTCATCGGTCGCTGTTCAGAAAGAAGACTGAAACATCGTCAGAAGTAACAACGATTTATTATTGTAATATTTGTTTACAGACCTTAGTTTGCTTAGTGATACTTGATTTATATGCTGGTGTAACAATACATAATACTCAAGCAACAATTGGTGTTTTGGTTTTTTCGTCCGTTGTTACTAAGCGTTTCTGAGAAATCTTCTAAGAACAGCGTGGGCCCGAGCGTAGCGAGAGCTGGGCATTAACGGTTTATGAGACTTTGCTGACAGTTTCTGACGATAGAAACAGATCTGGCGGATTCAAACAGTTGGTGAAAGTTTGGATAGTCGCCGTTCATTTTCCTGGTGCCGGTCAAGTCCTCTTTGAACAAGCAATATCTGGAACTTTTTTGGAATTGGGTCAAGTTCAACAATGCCTGGGTCAAAGAAGGGACAGAGTGTCTTGGATGCAAACAGGAAAGTAAGTCATGGTGACTTGTCTGTTAATTGTAACGATGTGTCTGATGTTAAGCATGACATGGTTGATGTTACTGTTTCGCCGTTCAGGGATAATAGGAACATCAAACTCCCTAAATTAGAACCACGGTGTTTTGATGGAAACCCGGCTGATTATTTACAATTTGTAAAGGAGTTTGAGATCATGTTGAGTAGTTTTCTATTAAATGATGAATTGAAGTTAATGTATTTGATGAGATATTGCACTGGAGATGCTGCAAGAGCTATACAGTGTTGTAAGTTTATGAAGCCAAAGAGGGCTACTTCGAGGCTATGAGCATATTACGTCAAAGGTTTGGAAGACCTTCGATGATTGCAGGGAAATTATTCGAGGCTGTTAAGGGTAATGGTGGTCAATTACAGGATGACTCCCAGGCACTCACTGAGTTTTTAGATAATTTGCTAATTTACAAGAATGGAATGATTTCGATGAATCGAATGAGTGACCTCAACTCGAGTTTTATACTAGAAGTAATAGCAAGACGTCTACCTACTCGACTGCAAAGGAAGTGGGTGAAGATAAGCTCCCGTATGGAGGATGAGGGTATCGAGCCAAAGTTTGATGATATCCTGAAACTGGTAAATACTAGTGTCAATCAATCTATGAGCAAGTTCGCCAGTCTATTAGATCTCACCCCTAGAATAGAGCAGTCTGAGATCAAAATGCAATCATTGATGACGAATAGGCCTCAGAGAGGTGGATATCGAGAAGACTCCATGATGTCTAGTAATGCATATAGACCTAGTGAGTGTAACAGGTTTCGTAGTACATCCTCAACAGATAAGTTACAAGATGCAAGACAAACACGGTTTTGTTTTACACGTGTGCAAGAGGTGCATACAGAAGTGAACTGTGAACCAGTGAGCAAGTTCAGTGATAAGCTAAATGTAAACTCCAGGCCTGACTCCGAATTGTGTGACGATAACGTTGTTGTGAAGAAGTCTGTAGTTGCAACTGGTAAGCCGTTGTTGAATAGAGTGTCACAGAATAGAGTTACTGCTTCAGAGTGGAGTTCTGACTCCAAAAGTTTACAAAGTATAACTAGTCAGAGTGAAGATATAAAACCTTTAATGATTTGTGAGGAGGAACCAAAATTGTCTACTTCTGTTATTAAAGAGTTTGAAAATGATGAAGTTGACGGTAAAGTGAATATTCGTGATAATGATCATGATACTGGACAGTTGTCTTTGGTTGATCATTATGAGATGAGGGATATGCCTACTACTGCTAAGTTAAATAAAGGTTCTGTACAACTACAACGTGAAGTAGAATTGAACGCAGATGCAGTTCCAGAAGGTGTGCATACTTGTGAGACAGTCAGTGTAATTGATCAGCGTGTAGCCCACCTATCATCAGATGATAGTGCTAAACCCGAACTAGTAGTGAAAGACAGCAGTGGTGGTAATCTTGCAGTTGGACAACTATCTGAGAGCCGAACAAGAACAGCTTCTGATCCACCACTAAGTTCATCACCTTGTGTCACTCAGTCATCGTTGGTGTTTTCATCCACAATGAAACAGATGCCCATCAACTCAAGTATCTTCTGCAATGACTATGGTAGTATCAGTTCGTTTGAAAGGACGAATATCAATGGTCAGTTTAGTGTGGATAAGCCAAGTGTAAAGGAGAGAGTTATTGTTAAATTGACTTGCACGAATAAAGGCATTTCTAGTTTCAAGTTACTATTTGAATGTTATTATCTTTGGTGTAAATTACTCTGTTTCTATACTTGGTTGATGAGATATGTCGTGTGTTTGTTGGTCATCTATATTCTACGATACAATGACATGGGCGTGTTGCCGTTCAGATTTGAGGATATAGCTGATAGAAGGAAGTTAGCAAATGAACTCTGCGACGATTTTCCAACCTAGGGCGTCAACCTGAGAAGGGTTGTAGGCGTACTGCTGTAAGTCCTACAATTCTTCAAAGGGTAGCGCATCAATGAGCAGTCCAATGTGCTTGGTGTGTGATTTTGTACATATGTTCATATTGTATATACTGAATTGATATCATCTGTCATCTAGCTGTTGGTAATTCTGTTTGTGTCCGGACGACTTCCACTTGGATCATCAACCTGAGAAGGAATGTAGGCGTACTGCTGTAAGTCCTACAGTTCTTCAAGGGTAGTTTGTCGTGTCAGAATCCACAACATTTGATGTGTTGATTGTACATATGTTTGTGTTAAATAGTTGTGTGAGTTCCAATTGATGTAATTGTTGGTTAATCTTGTTTGTGTCTGGACATTCCACAACTTACAATCGTCAACCTGTGAAGGGTTGTAGGCGTACTGGTGTAAGTCCTGCAATTCTTCAAAGGAATTCCACCAAGACATGATCGGCGAGGTTGTTTGTACAATTTGTATATACGTGTGGTGTGTCATATCAATTGGTGTTTTTGGATTCATTGTGTTTACTTGTTGTTTTCGTATCTTGTTGTTATTGCGTAATTTTGTTAAAATTTTCGTCGTGATTATTTCTGAAGTTGTTTCGAGTCTTCTACATCCATGAATGAATTGATTGATGTTAAGGACAGCAGATGGGTCGTATACGCCGGGGAGGCTATTGCTGAGAATGAAATGCACACGGAGATAATTGTTAGCTGCGGTCCGACACGCCGGGGAGAAAGAGTGTAAACGACTGAGGCTCGCATGCGTCACCGCTACTAGAACTGAGGCAGAATGAGTGACAAGCGATTTCAGTGGTAATTGGTAGATAAGAGGATGTGCGTAGAGTATCGTGAGGTGCTGCCATGGTCACTTTGCATTCTGCAAGAGTCATTCTAGCAAGTGGCGATTGTGTTGCAAGATGTCAAGAGGACATCTTTATCTGGAGGCGCAGGTCGTCATTGATGTGTGAGATTGTGCTGTGGGTATGCTTGTGGTGTGTTGGCTTTTCTGTTTGTTTTCCATTTCAGCTCTGTCCGTGTGACCCAGGTTCTCGCAATGGCATCCAAGTCAACGTGCATTGGTCGTGAAGGAAAAAAGGGTTGGATCCCTTTTTTGCCGGGGAGTGTCAATGGAGTTGAAGATTGAACGATCAATTCTTGGTTGTTTGCTCAAAATCAACTTCCTCGATTTTCGCGGAGGCATCAATACGACAGTCATCGTCTCATCGGTCGCTGTTCAGAAAGAAGACTGAAACATCGTCAGAAGTAACAACGATTTATTATTGTAATATTTGTTTACAGACCTTAGTTTGCTTAGTGATACTTGATTTATATGCTGGTGTAACAATACATAATACTCAAGTCAACAATTGGTGTTTTGGTTTTTTCGTCCGTTGTTACTAAGCGTTTCTGAGAAATCTTCTAAGAACAGCGTGGGCCCGAGCGTAGCGAGAGCTGGGCATTAACGGTTTATGAGACTTTGCTGACAGAAGGTTTATGAATTTCAGCTGTTCCGACAAAAGTTGAGAATATTAACAGCTCAGCAACATTATGGATATAAGTTCATCACATTATCTTTGGAAAGGTGGGTGAGGTATATATGGTGCCCAACGAGCATACATCTGTCCAGGTGATGTTGTGGTTAGTTATACCTTTTTCATGTCGTCGGTTTTTGTCCAATCAGCCAAAGACAAATGTGCACTATCATGATCATTGTCACAAATATCCACTTAACCGCCCTTTGGATGACTGACCTCATCATTTTCAAACTCTTACATAACAGCAGTAGACAATTTGGGTTCACCTCACAAATCCTTAAAGGTTTAATACCTTTACTCTGACTAGTAATACCTTGAAAACCTGTGGAGTCAGAATTGGACTCTGAAACTTTAACTCTCTTCTCCTGAACAAACTGCGGTTTCGTCTGTTACACTGTATTCAACAATGGCTTACCAGTTGCAACTACAGGCTTCTTCACCACACCATTATAGTCACACAATTGGGAGTCAGACCTTGATGACGCTGATTTCACTTTTAGCTTACCATTAAGCTTGCTCACTGATTCACAGTTCACCTTTGTGTGCTCTTCTTGCAAACGGACGAGACACGACCGTGTTTGTCTTGCAGCTTGTAACCTATCTGTTGAGGACGTCTCACTAAAGCTGTTACACTCACTAAGTTTATATGGATTACTAGACATCATAGCTTTTTATCGATATCCACTTCGCTGAGACCCCTTCGTCATAAATGACCGCGTTTCTCTCTCTGTCTTCTGTATTCCAGAGGTGGGATGCAATATACTGGCACACTTGGTCATAACTTGGTTGACACTATCTTTTACCAGTTTCGGAATATCATCGAACTTTGGCTCAATACCTATATCCTGTATACGAGAGCCTATCTTCACCCACTTCCTTTGCAGTCGAGTAGGTCGGCGTCTCGCTACTACCTCTATGACGGAACTTGAGTTCAGATCACTCATGCAATTCATCGAGATCAACGTATTCCTGTAAGTCTTCAGTGCCTTAGTTGAAGACACTGATACAGTGCTGCTATCCTCTGCTTATTCGGAATATTTCTAGCTCACCTGGTAAATAACGGAACTACCTACATTATAAAATCTGCTGACAAGTTCATATACAAGTGGAAATGTCACAAATGTGGTGCACTTACCAGTGAAGTTGAAGTTTTAGAGACTTTCAAACACTTAATGAATTATTTACTTATAGTTACTATTCATTCTGCATCTCTTGTGTATCACGTCAGTACCAGTACAAAAATGCTACTTACCTTCCACAATTAACACAACCATTCATAATTCCCGCGTGAAATTAACATGCCGTATTTTTTCAATTACAGTTTAGATTTGACGCCATATCTTATGACTTATTCGGTGGAAAGCAAACCTCAAAAATTATCTATTTCCTTATTCGCACATTTCTTTTTAAATGTTTCTCTCACATTTACCAGTATTCAACCTATTTCTAGATTAACAAATCATATTATATATTCTATAAGTTCTACTTGGTGGTACTTGGCGGTACGTTCGAAATCGGTGACATTTTTGCACGTGTTTGCTCTGAAATTTATTTACTGCTTATTGTCTTATAATTCTTGAAATTATGGTCCAAATCTCTAAAAAACGTGTTCGTAGAAACACAGTTGTTTTAGATAGTGGCTCAAATTCGGTTATAACTGCATTACCGCCTGGTAATACAGTATCAACTACTAGCTCTCAAAATGGTTTGAGTGCAGATCTCACTCCTGTGATACAGGTGAAAGATGTTCTGTTAGAGAACTCTGAGTTCTGTAAACTAAACCTCCTTTTGAAAGATATGCAGAGGCAAGTAAGTGAAATTCAGAAAAAATTAGATCAGTTTGATAGTATGTGTTATGAACTCGTCGCTAAATTATTGTTATGGACTGGTCGAGAAACTAATAGTCCTGACGCGAGATGGCGGAAATCAGAAGACCACTAGGGTTACGATGATACTTCTATTGTCCAAACACAAGGAGACGAAAATAAATGGTCTCACACCAAAGTGATAAGTAAGTAAAGTAAAGTCACAAGATTGTGAATGCGAAATATATATGAATGTTCCAGACAAAGCGTGGGAACAAATCATTAGACAGTCTTAACATGAATGGCTAATTATAATGGAGTGTCGATCCAAATATACATAGCGAATATAGCAGACATGTCAACAACCATATATGGATATATGTCACTAAGCAAAGGACTGTCAACAAACACTCACATTATATATAATATAATATAAGGAGAATACACATTAATAAAGGAGACAAGTTCACACAAGTGAAATGGTCACAGACTACGCGAGCAAACAGAAAGAGAGACCAACATACACACACATACATATATATATGTGGATACATATCAGTATGTCACTGCCAATCTCAAATACCACGGAGAGCCGTTCTGATATTGGCCAGGTTAAGTCTTTACTGGATGTAACTCAAAATAAGCTTTCGGATTTAGACCCAATAGCCTGTCTGTTAAAGCAACATCCTAAAATATCTCAAGACAACCTAAATGAAGCTGAAAATCTGATTGACTGCCTGGCTACGGAGGTGATGAAGCGTATAACCTCTTCTCACCAAGCTATAGTTTACAACGTCCCAGATTCTCTGCCCCTGAAAACTGTAAGACACAAAATCCTGATTTGTTGCGGCATGGCTAGTGTTCCATGTGAATGCAAACGACTTCGTAAAAAGTCTAACCAGGCTAATTGCCCAATCATTTTTAAATTCAGTAATTCCCTTGATGCTAGTAAGTTTACTAAATGTCAGGATCACTTAAGACTGAATAGCAGTTATAAGTCTATAACCGTAGCTCAGGATAAAACACCGTGTCAGCGCAGAATAATGCGTAGTAATAACCTGGTCACCTCCTCTAGCTTTGATTTACCAAATAAGGATCGTGCACAGCAACAGACACCTAGTGCTGAAACTAGCATTCAGCAAACTACACAACAACCACACCTGCCAATGGAACTAGGAACTGATTTAGATACCAGTACCCCTGTAAATAAAGCCTCATCGAAAGATGTTAAAATGACTAGAACTTCTGCAAGTTGTTCTAAGAAATTTCCCTCCAAACGTAGTAACCTCACCACGATGAACAAATTTCGCAGGGTTGAGACTAATGATGGGGAAGAATACTTTGTATTCAATAAGCCTGCTGAGAGTAAGAATGCCAACAAACCATCACTTGTTACGAAAAACTCCTCTCGAAACACAAGTATATCTGGAGGTTTTCCGCATGCTCCACCTTATAGAAAGTCAGGCTCCAAGACTCCTAAAGTCTTGCAGCCAAAGCACCTCCCCTCACAATTCCCTTTAAGTTATAAAAACAACCCGAAGGTGTGTACCGGTATGACGAATAGCAGTTGGATGGGTAGACCTTTGATGCTATGCTTTTTAACCGTCAACCTAGGCCCAACCTCTACTACCCTTATATCCAGGAACACATGGTAAATTTTCCAGGTGTCCCGAATCACTGGTACGACCCATGGCACCTAGGACCACCTCATTGCACACCAACCCGATGTACAGACACCCAGTCCGACCTCCTTTTCATTCATAAACTCTTGCGGTGCTGACGCACAAATAGATTTAGGTTATGGTGACATTTTAAGCCAGTTTGTAGTATCCCGTGACTTATTCACGATATTGCTAATTAATGCACGTTCCTTAATCAATAAGATATCTGAACTAAGGACATTATTATTAGTCGCCAAGCCTACTGTAGCTCTGATTACTGAGTCATGGTGCTCATCCTCTGTACTTGATGTGCATATAGGTATCGATGATTACACTGTACACCGTGCAAACAGAGATTGCAAGCGTGGTGGAGGATGTCTCATATATATACATAGCTCATTTGTAGTCAGTAAGGTGGAAGATGAAACAATGAATAATGTACCTGACTCACTCTGGGTTGTCTTACATGGAGATAAGTACAAACTTCTCATA